CTCGCCGCCGCCCGGGCCCCTCGCGAAGCGCCGGGCCGCCGGGAACATGGCCCTGGAGCAGCTCTGCTCGGTCCTCAAAGGTAAGCGCCCGGGGCCGCGGAGCACGGCGCCCCCTGCGGGCCGAGGCCGGCGCTTCGCGTCCCTGCCCGGTGCCCCGCGCGCCTTTGTCTGCGAGCGGAGCGCGCAGCTCCCGCGCCTGCAGCCCGCCTGGCCCTCCCGGCGCCTGCCCGCAGCCCGCGGCGTGGCGGGCCGGCGTGCGGGGGACTAGGGACAGAACCGGGGGTGGCGGCCGGCGGGGGCCCCCGAGGCTGCCCTCGCGCCTCGGCCGTAGAATTCCGCGCGTCGCTCTGCAAAGTTGTGGGGTTCGTATCCCTGGGGCCGAGGCCGGTGTTCTCCGACATGAATGACAGAAAGTCAGCGCGCTCAACCCAAAGCCCCTCCGAGGCGTCGCCGCGCGGTTCTCCCGGAGCCCCGCGGTGGCGGGCGGCGGAACGGCCTGCGCGCCCGGCCGGGTCCCACCTGATGCGGCCGCGGAGGCTGCGGCACCACTGCGGGCGCCGCCACCCGGCTCGGCCCGGCGCTGCCCGGGACCTCGGCTCCGCCTGTCGCCGGCGTCTGCCCTCTGGTTCGTCTACTGGGAATGGGAACAGTCGGCCGGCCCAGAGCGCGAAGCGCTAAGGCTCACTATCCATTGCTGCCTCGCGTTTTCCAGGGGGTGGTTTTTTAAATAGGTTAAAATGGACATACGTAGATATTAAGACTGTGAGTGATACGAAGTTGTTTCTGAAACTCGACTCAATAAATCCTTTTTCCAGTCCTCAGGGGAAAACAGCACCACCCGTAAAGGGCTTCCCTTTCCCCTAGTGATTTAAATTGAAAATTGAGTAGCTGTGTATTTGTAACGTTATGAAATAGCCTCCTTTTTTATAGTGGTGAAGGAGGCATTGTATTAGAGGTATCTTATAGAGCTTGTCGTGGTATCTTAATATTTGTACAGTGACAAATGGTGTTTTTTCCTAACTCCATACCAGCACTTTTTTCAAAATTTTTTTATTAGGAAATTCAGTATAATTTTGCGTTTACATTTTAATTGGGTAAATATTCTACTTTCCAGATATTCCTAAATTCATCATTGAGATGTCAGTAATTTAATTTAAAATGTTTAACTACCCAGCTGTATACTTCTCTATACAGTTTGTGCTAAGATAACCCAGGACGTTCTAGCTATTATTTCAGTCACCCCATAAATTCTTAGTGATTCCCTCATGATATTGAAATTTAAAACGCTGAAATTCATTTCGTAGTTTTTCCTGGCTGTAACTCCTAACTTGTGTAGCCATTCCTTGGAAATGAAGATTTTGTTTTTCTCTTTCCAAATAAAACTATGCATGGTAGGATTTCGGATAGTGCTCCTCCTGCGAATTTCCCTCATTCTGGTTGCAGTGGGTTTATGTCACCATCATGACCGTCCCTGTACGCAGCCCCCTGGGGAGAAATGCCTAGAAGTGCTTGTTCTGCTGGACCTGCAGAACTTGAAGAAACAGCTGGGTGGGACAGAATCCCCCCACTCCCGGAATGGGAGGGCGCAGCTTTGCAGCCGGCGCCCTGATCCTCGGTACACACTGCCCTCTCTGGCCAGCGCGCTGAAGCATTTCGCTGCCGCACCTTTCCGGAAAGGAGTCTGTGTTGATGGCTATGGTGAAATCTTCAGAGAAAACAACGTAGTATCTGGCTTGGCATTTTTTTACTCTTACCCAACCTGCGCTATTTTGACATGCTGGAGTATTTTTAAAGCTCAAGCTGAATTGTTGTAGGCTTACTAGTCAGGAAGCAAGCTATTTTTAATTCGTCTAAAGTTTACGTGTATGTGCTTGTAAAGATGGGGGTGTAAATATTTGGTCTGGGAAGATTCAGGAAATTAACAGAAGTTGATTCTGAGAAGGGAACCTGCCAGACTGAGACATGAGTGAAGGGAAGGCATGCATTTCACTGCATGCCCGTTGTTATGACTTGATTTTTTTAACCAAATACGTGCACTTCCTATACAAAAATAGATATTTTTAAGTTTAAAAACTCTCTTTTAAAAAATACCAGCTTCTCCCTGTGTTGCCATTCAGTGTGTGCATCAGGGCATGAAAGTATCTGTAAGTGTCCTGAAGGGTGGGTCGCTTCCGCACCAAAGAGGTTCTTACGGAAAGCATTTCTTTAACACTTGGATAAGCATGGGTATTACCTACTGAAAGCCTTGTTTGGAAGTCATGGTCAGTTTCTACTAAAACAAATCAGCATAATGAGTGCATGAGCGTTTAGATAGAAGGTAATTTTCTTTAAGATGCCATTGATTCTTGTTTTCCTTTCAGTGGTGAGAACAAAAGGACAACTCTGCTAGGCTTTTTAAAGCTTCCTTATATTGTTAAAACTAAATAATTCCTTTGAATGGCTTGTGATCACTCCAGGTCTTTAAAATTTGACTTCCTTTCTCTGTCCAAGTGAAGGCAGCATCATGGTCACATGAATTATTGCATCAGGATTATAAACTGTTTTACGGTTTGTGTTCATTCTGCATACTGGCTGGAGGGGAGTCCTATTAGACCCAGTTATATTTAAATCTGATAAACTGGGGTGAAATTTAGGGTGTGATAAAACATAAATATCCCTTGGCACTATATTTGAAAAATCTTATCTGAGACTGTGACAGATCCTAACTCCTGTCCTTCATGCTTAAGCCTCATCCAAGAAAATAAACTAGACAGAGGACGTACAGTACTGAGAAGCTGTCCCTTTAATAGTGACATTTTTAGCATAGCCTTGTTAAAAATTAACTTTTCGGCTTTCCCCCCAGGAACTGGAGAAAATGTTTTAATACTAACAATTGAAAAGTCAGATTACACAGTGGCTTTATCATAGTAAATTCTCAACTAGAATTCAGCTTATGTACATTTTGAAGTGAACAGTCCTGTAATCCACACACATGTGCATAACTAAACAAGTTCAGATCAAAGCCACTTTCAATCACCTGAGTGGCCTGGAAACTTGACAGGTTTTTGCACATTTGTCATATCACTCACAAAATTACAGCTTGTACTAATCTGCAAGTTCAAGTCTTCCTAGTCAAAATGACATTAAAACATGTTGATTTAAACGTGCCTAGAGTAATACATTGGAAATTAGAACACTCATGGGTGAGAAGACAGCAAATACTCTTCAGAATGTGACCTGGTCGTGTTAAATTTGATGGTGTTTGCCGCGGATGTCTAAGGAAGACGCCTATATAATTAGAGCACAGGAAACGGGCCTCCCTGGACTGTTTGCTAGTGAGGAGATTGTCACATTCTGCCCGAAAGAGAAAGTACGTCTGTCTGCTGCAGCCACCCTTATAAACGTGATGGGCAGTGGGGTTGGCATGTGTAGGCTGGATGACCCCAAAGTTCACCAAGATCCGTCGTTTTTCTTAACTAGTAATTAAAATTGAGTTTGATTAAGTTTGGGTACTTTTTTGGTCTTGGGAACGAGTTTATCGAAAACAACTTCCTACAACCTAACAGAGTCTGTGGACTCTTGAATGGAACTCCTCCCGCCTTCATTAGAGATGAGGAAGGGGCAGGATGACCCTCAGGCGTTGTCACCTTCTGTGTTTACCACGTAGATGCTTACAGCAAGAAGGCTTCGAAATAGGCACATTTAATTACTAACCAAGGTAAACGGAGCCAGAGGTAAATTGAGAAAAGTCAGAGTAGTGGCTAAGCATCTGAAAAGAAAAAAAAAAATCAGGTATTATTCTGTCCCCTGATTTATGCTCCAGTAAAAAGGATCCGGGTCCCCTGTGTGGCTTCTGGGAACCGAGAGGCATGCCTGTTACTTGGTTAGTGTGGGGCTCCGTTCTCTGTGCTGCGTCCCAGTGAGCACGTGGCATGGTCCTGCCCCATCATGGCATGCGCTCACCCAGTTTTCACGGAGTGCTACTGTGGGCCAGGCAGTCCAGTCACTAGAGATGCATCCATGAATCAGGCAGACCAGGGCCCTCGTTCTAGGAGGAAGAAAGTACCAGGTAACATAAGTACTAGTTCAGATATTACTTGCATAACAACACAGGGTGAAGGAGAAAGCGTTGAGCTGCTGGAGAAGTCAGGAAGGCCTCCCAAGACCCAGGGACAGACAGGAAGGAGTCAGCCATGCAGAGGAGTCCTTGGGGCAGGAGAAGCTGGTGCCTAAGGCAAGAATTAGCCTGGAGTGTTGAAGTAATGGGAAGAAAGAGGGCCTGTGCAGCCACTGGTGATCGGAAGGTCACGGGGGGAGTCAGGTCCCAGATCGCATAGGTCCTCTGAGGTTGCGGAAAGGAGTTTGGATTTGTCCTGAATGTAGTGGGATTCTCCTGGAAGATTCGTGAAAAGCCGTGACGTGATCTGATTTATGTTTTGAAAGGATCACTGGCTGCTGAGCACAGGATAGACCATAGGTGACCGTGGCAGAAACAGTGGGTTGTCTCCCCTTACCCATTTCACCCTTCAGTGGTTCTCTGAGTTTTAGCTGAGCGCACACGCCCCCAGAGTAAAGACTTGACCTTCCAGCTTTCCGTTTAGGGTTAGGCGTGTGACTAAGTCAGCCTGGCCGCTTTGGGGGAGTGGTGTTGTTTTTGTTTAAAATGTTTATTTTGAGATCGTTGTAGATAATGGGCAAGTGTTTTTAGAGGAAAGAGGAATGCCCTGTGTCGTTTCTTCATTCTCCCTAACTAATGCAGACATGGTAGCTGTGATGATGATCTGACGGCTGGCACTACAGCATCCACACTGGACCAGAAAATGGCCTTAGAAATGAAAGTCATATGCAGCTGAGCAATCAGGTAGAAAGAGGTGAGGCGCCTGGTAGTGACCTGGCCTTCCCCTAGCCCTGGCTACCTACCCCACAGTTTTACTTGACAGAGAAATATGCCCTATCTTGTTAAATTATGAGTTGAGGTTTTGCCGTTTCTCCTGCCAACCCTCATGTTCACATTTTAGGAGTGTACAAGATCAGCGAAAGAAACAAAACCAGAAAGAGAGAGCTGTTGAATAGTCACAGGAAGGGAAAAGTCTGAATGCTATCAAATAAAATGAGTCTGGAAAGAGTTCCTAGAAAAAGCAGGTGTTAAACAGTGTGAAGGTAATTTTCTAGAAGCAAAGGGAGGTTGATGTCAAGTGCAGATGCTCAGAGACAGGAAGTATTTGTAGGGACCACATTAGATTAGGTAGCAGGGCACTCCGCAGCATTTCCAGAACCAACTGCTAACCTCGCCCACCCTCTGCCCTGCTCCATGCCCCACCTGCCCGGGCGCAAACTTGCCCCCACCATCATGAGAGGAGAAAACAAACAGCCTCTGTACTTCTTGTATTGCAGCGTCTTGCAGGGGCAGTCCCAGGACCCACAGCTTTAGTGTCAGTAGGGAACTTGTTCCAATGCAAGCTCTCAAGCCCCACCCACACCTACCAGATTAAAATCTCTGGAAGTGCCCCCTCTCCATCTGTGTTCTAATAAGCACTAACGTGTGACAGCCACTGTCCCAGGGGCTCAGGTCCCAGACCTGGATGTGGACTTCCCGGCACGGATGGCATATTTAAGCCTTGCTACCTACATGTGACCAGATGAAGCTCCCGGAAGTTGGGCCAGTGTGCAGTCCAGCTGCAGTCAGGGTCGGTTTCCTGGGTCCTGGCCAGCACCGGACTGGGACTACACAGAACAAAGCCCCACAGCACTAACTAGCCCTACGTTTGGCATTAGAGGACTTGATTTTCCAGCCTCAGCCTGACTCTATAACAAGTGACTGAACGAGATCCCATTATGCAACTTGGAGGAAACTGTGTTTCTTATGACACAGAATTTAGAATGATTAATAGTCACAACTGTGCCCCTAATTGTTGTGCACGTTTGCCTGGTTTTTTACGGAGCGTTTTTATACTCAGTGGCACAGCTCATTTGGTTGATGAAGTTGGAAACAGTTTTTTAAACTTGGGGAAAAGAAAATTGTGAGCAGCCCTCTAAAGTAGAAAAGAATAAGGTTTATTTGGTCTTGTAATTTTATTTTTATTTTGTTCTATCTTAGTTGTGTATTCTGTGTAGATTTTAAAAATCAGATATTTTACACAACTAAAATCTTATTGGTCATTGTATTCTGTAATTTTCCTGGCACAATTCACCTTTCTGCCATGATTTTGCGGCTGTTTTCCTGGTTTCAGTTTGTGGATTTCTTACTTGCCCTGTCTGCCTGGCTCTGTGTCACTTGCTTATCTACCGTGATTTATAAACGTGAAAGCTGGTTGATTCTTCTGCCTGGGAGTCAGGAGGAAAGGTGCACTGAGCACGAGATGCCGACCAGTGGCATGTCACCTGGATGGTGTGCCTGGGGACACTGTGTCCCTAACAAGATAAATTGATGCAAATGGATTGTCAGGTATCTGGTATCACCCTGGGGTTTTGTTTTGATCATAAATCTTCTTTTTTAAAAAATATATATTTCAAGGGCCAGCCGAGTGGCAGGTTGCTTAGGAGTTGGCTTGGGACGCCAGCTCTGAGCAGCAGGGCCCCGGTTCGGATCCCACATGAGGGCCAGTGACGCTGCACCCTCTGCAGCTAGGATGGTGAACAACAGCTCGACCTGGAACTGGGCTGCCATGAGTCACTGGCGATGGCGTAGGCTGCAGTGAGGCTGGCCAGCAGCTGGCGTGAGCTTTCGTGAACTGCCGTGAGCCTCCGTGAGCGGCCGTCCAATGGCCGGCGAGCGACTGCTTCAGCCGGAAAGAGTGCAATGATAATACCAACTTGGGCCAGTGAAGCAACGTCCTCCACAACTAGACTGAAGAACAAAAGAAAAGCAACTTGTCTGTTCCACTTCCCCGATTCACCGATAAAGTCTAATATATATATATATATATATATATATATATATATATATATATATATATATACACACATATGTGTGTGTGTAATATATATATATATATATTTCAAGATTCCAGTTCTCTAACTCTGACCCAGTGCAAAGACATGAAGAATCTGAAGGAAGGATTGTTCTATATAACATGAGATCTTCAACACCACTGGTGACCAGAGAAAGGAAAGGGGACATTAAAGCTGCTGAGAAGACAGAGAGGAGGCAGAGGAGACAGGAACCCAAAGATGAAGAAGAGGTCAATGATTCTATAAGATGACAAGTGAACGGGGAGAGCTGTTGTCCGCTGGTGACTTGGGTGGTAGATTGTCAATGGGTGCTGTTGGGTGAGCCGTGGCCCCTGTCACTGAGCTAACTACCGCCTCTTAGTGGCCCCATCGCCCTCACCCCTAACACTCTGTAGGTCAACTACTGCAGTGGTCTGTGCATCGGAATCAAGTCACCAATCTCTCCTGCCACTGCCACTGTCCTGCTTTGGGGTCCTTGTCATCTTTGCTTCCTAAATGACCTCTCCTCTTGAGGATTTTCGACTCCACACAACTGTCAGGATTATTGGTCCGAAACAAAAATGTGATCATATCACCCTCCAGTGAAAACACCCCCGGTGGCTTCACTTTATAGTCAGCGTCTGAATGCTTTAGCCTGGCATCCCAGCGTTTCACCTCAGGTCTCATCCTGTTTCACCGTCCCCTCTGCATGCTGACCGTCTGTCCCCCAGCGCTCCCTAACCCCTCCTGCAGACGGTGCGCGTGCCGCAGGCTTTCCGTGTCAGCCATTTCTTTCACTCTCTTCTGGATGGAAGCCCTGTGAGGTCCAACCACATTATACCTCTTTTTTCTGCATTCTTCCTCGCTCTGCTCTCTTCGCCCTGAGCAGAATGACTGGTTCCCTTCCATGCTTCCGGTATGGACTCTAACCCATCAGACCCCGCTTGCCCTTGAACTGGAGATGGCCTCTGACGGAAGACTGATGCCTTAAGGATGGTGGCTTGTCCTCTTGTCTGTCACTGATCTAGCAGCATGCCAGCAAGTGAAAGGTGCTGTGTGCATCGTCTCATCTCATCTTCACAACAACCTATGAGGCCGGTGCTATTTGCAACATTCCCAATTTGTGAATTAAGAAAACTGGGCTGAAAGGCCCCACGGCTAGTACACGGCAAAACTGGGACCCCAGTCAAGATCCATCTAACTTCTAACAGCCATAGCCTTACCTGTCTGGCTGTGTTTCTCCCCCCACACCTGTGTCCTGGTAGTCAGGTAGTTACTCTGAGTGCCTACTGACTGGCTGAGCCACGAAAGCTCCAGTTCCCACGGGACTGGGGCAGGCTGCTTGTGGGACTTCTAGACTTCTATTGAAAGGGGGAGTGGAAGACATCAGTGCACCATTCATAAAAATAAGATGTTTAAGAGAATCTTCAAAACATAAAATAATTTGAGACCTTGTTGGTTAGGTCTTAGAAATATTCCACCTGAAAAGAAAAAGCTTCATTTGCTGAATAAGCTGCTTTTGTAACAGGAGACAGGACAGCACCGTACAGCCTGAAATGTCCTGGAGAGGCTTCTAGGAGGTGCTGCCCCTTCTTCTGTCTTTATTATGAGTGTTCTCAAAAGTCAGACAAAGTCATTGAATCTGTACTTACCTAATGCATTGCAGAGCCAGCGGAATGCACGTAAACGCTCTGAGATGGAGTACAGTAAATACAGGAATAATTGGGGTCCGCAAAATCTATTGCAAAAGAAAGGGTGGGTTTTTGGGGTTTTTTGGGGGGTGGTTTATTAAAGATTTTCTTGGGTAATTGGGGGAGGGAAACAGCATTGGGGAATCGGGGAAGGGGAACAAATTGCTGTCCTTTTGTTCTTCAGTCTAGTTGTGGAGGACGTCGCTTCACTGGCCCATGTTGGTATTGTGATCATTGCGCTGTTTCCGGCTGAGGCAGATCGGTCACCGGCCATTGGATGGCCGCTCACGGTGGCTCACGGCACCTCACACTGGCTGCCAGCCACTCACAGTAGCTCACGGCAGCCCACTGCAGCCCCACTGCAGCCTGTGCCATCGCCAATGACTCAAGGCAGCCCAGCTCCAGGTCGAGCTGTTGTTCACCCTCTTAGCTGTAGAGGGCGCAGTGTCACTGGCCCTCATGTGGGATCCGAACAGGGGCCCTGCTGCTCTGAGCTCTTGCTCCCAAGCCAACTCCTAACCAACGCGCCACTCGGCTGACCCGAAAATGTGGTTTTTGATCCATCATAAATTGAAAAATGCTTTAAATGCCATGCACTATTAGGGTTTGTATATCACCTGTGTTCTTTCTTGGGTTGCCTTAAGTTTCAAGTAATTGATCAGAATGTAACATTTAACCCTTAAAAATCTTGAGAGTGAGTTAATGTTATAATAGTAAGAAATAGTTCCGATTCATCTTTTTTAGATGAACCTAATACAATGTGTCCCAGTCTCCGTTGTTTAACTTCACTTCTCTGTTACTCCCTAGTGCTGTTGATCACAGTGCTGGTGGTGGAGGGCATTGCCGTGGCCCAGAAGACCCAGGGTGAGTACCTACAGCATAACCTCCCCAGGCTCAGGGTCGCAGGGCGGCCTCTTTGAAAGGACTGTAACTCTTGAGGACAATTTCCATAATCCCTTAGGGTGTTCCGATGACCTCCGGCTTTCTGTCAGCCCATCAGCCTCACTTTAACTGGGCTTAGCTGCAGTTAACCAGAGTAAATTGTCGACATAAAACAAAGTCTTGCCCTGATAAATTTTAAGTATTGGCATCACCAGGAGCTCCTAGCACACACACACACTGGATTTTGTCCAAAAATTGAATGAGACTCATGCTTTATCACTAAGCAATACTGAAAATCCCTTTCTCCAGTGTAGACAAATGAAGTTTCTGTCAGCACCTTATTGGGAGTCCTTTGGGCCTGTTCTGTTGTCCTTGTTTATGAAAGAGTAGCTGGTGTGGCTTTTGAACCAGGTTTCCACGTTGGAGGTTAGTACGTTTCTTAGGTAACCTGACTTATTTTTCCTTTTCATCGAAGTTATACAGACACATGACACAAGTCCAAGCATTCTGAAAAGTTAGTTGGAAAAGTCAGCCCCCCATCCTACCAGACCCCACTTCCTGCCCCCCGAGACTCCACTCGCAGCTGGTTCTTTTGGTGGGTCCCTGCATATTTCTAAATAATGTGCTTTCTGTTGCTTCTTCGTTACTTCGGTTTTAAGTATCAGATAATGGTTTCCCACCGTGGAAGATGCGTTTTAGTTCTTCCGTGCACGTCCTTTCCACCCCCAACCATGTCAAGCATTCTCTTCCTTTATGGGCAGCCCCCCACCCTCTCACCCCCCACCCCCATTTCAGTATAGTGACTTCCAAATTCTGGTTGCGTCGTATTCAGGATTGACATCAGGTCACTCATTGAGTTTTTTCAATATGAAAATGCTCTCTTTCAGCTTAGGAAATTCCCCTTTCCATTTTTCTTTTCCTTTCCTCCGCTGTGGTGTGAGAGCCGCAGTGGGCACCACACACATGAGTGACATGGATACATTCCAGAAAATCGTGCTTAGAACAACAGGCAGCAGGCCAGCTTTGGCCCAGGGCCACAGTTTGCAAACCTCAGCTCCCAACTTTCCACTAATTTTTTCACTTCTATTTTTAGAAGCTTTCTTTTGTGTGTGTGTTTTTTCTTTTTAATATTTTTAAGTATCCTTGCATCCACATTCTTGTTTATGGAAATGTTCTCTTTCTCTGAGAAGACTAAATGATGATGATGTTTAGTGTTGCTGTTACTGGTTTTTTTAAAAAAATATTTTTCTTACCTAATTCTGTTTCAAATTGCTTTTTCTTTATTGGTTTTTCGTTGTTTTTCATATGAGAGGCTTTCCTCAAATGTCTGGTGACCTTTGAATTTTTAATGTCTGCTCATATTTCCGAGGCGAGCTCTTAGATCTGACCACTCAGTGTCTGCAAGTGTAGGGGGGCTGCTTGCTGCGGCCCCCACTGTCAAGTGACCCGACACGGGGAAGCCCTTAGTCACCATCGTCGTGTCTTTTTCTTTGGGCTCATTCGACTCCCCAGAGAAGAAGCTCCCCGTTTCCTGCTTAGAGACTCTGCACCTGACCGAGAGACCTGGGGCGGCTGCAGAGGGCTGTCATTCACTATGTTCACGTTCACCTGGCCACCCTGTTCTCAGGCTGGCGTTTTCACCCCAGTCGTACTGGGGTCCTCTAATCCAGCAACTCTGTCTCCTCCAAAGAAATAATCTTGTTTCTGACATGGTAGCAGCGCAGCAGCTACAAAAATCTGTGGAGCAGGGGAGTGTATTGAAGGCGAAATTGACTGCACAGACTCTGAACCAAGCCCCGTGTTTCTAAGAAGCCCAGTTGCACTGCCATCACCACCCCCTGCCCCCCTCTTCCCGACACGCAGTGCTGCTGGCTGTGGCTGCGGGGTTAGTGCTGATTGGAGCTCTCCGCCTACGTACTTAGAGGTTGTGCCCTCTGAGGAAAAATCCTTATTTCCGTGGACTTGGAGGAAGGAGCAGAGCCAAATGCACTGACGGTCTGCGATCTTTAACTAAAACGCTTTTGTAACCTTGGCATCTTCTCCGACTCTGTGTTAAACTAAATATGGAGGTGCCAGACCAGAGGTGAGCTCCTGGGATCCTGTTCATTCTGTGTCAGAGCTGAGTTGTACAGAGTTTGACTGGCTCACCAGGCTCTCCCACATGCTTTTGCCCTGTAAATGCCGAGCAGGTCTTCCCCCTGCTCACTTACCTGGTGGATGTGTCCCCCAGCACACGCTCTTCCAATCACAGCATGGCCTCGCTTTTCTCTCACTTCTGCTGGACTCAGTTTGTTGTGCTACGTTTGGCAATGCTGTAATCAATGTTTTAAATGCTGTTTTCCCCTAAGATGGACAAAATATTGGAATCAAGCACATTCCTGCAACCCAGTGTGGCATCTGGGTTCGAACCAGCAATGGGGGTCATTTCGCTTCACCTAATTATCCTGATTCGTACCCACCAAACAAGGAGTGTATCTACGTTTTGGAAGGTATTTGACCAATTTCTATCTTTTATTGAATGAATGTTATTTTATTGTAAAACCAAATACATTGGTGAAATGCCCTGTTTAAACTAATTTGAATGAAATTAAACATGTATGTGAATTCAACTCTAGTAATTATAAATATTTCTGAATATTGAACACATACATCAACAAAGTAATAGTTGATATAATGTAGGAGTTCTGAATCTTCTAAGACATAACTTCGACCAGATGCACCAGTATGAGAACTTTCTCTGATAAGAAACTTACACTAACAGGCATCTCTTGGTTTAGGCTTTATAAAAATTTATGTCCTTAGTTACACTAGTTGTTCCTTTCATTTCTTCTGTTTTTCTGTTCATCGTGGTACATTGTATCTCATGAACCAAGTGTTGGCCTCTCGACTCTCATATTAATCAGTTAAGTACATTAAACTAATTTCATAAATAGCTCAGGCAAAGGGAAAGGTTACTTTAGCTTCACAGAGTGGCGTTCTTGTTGTAAACTGTAGCATTTATTATGACTCATACACATGACATCCTCGGCTGTGGAGCAGTTGCACCTTGTCGGGCTCATGTCACCCTGATTCGCTTACTGTTATTTTCTAGCTGCTCCGCGTCAAAGAATCGAGTTGACCTTCGATGAGCATTTTTACATAGAGCCATCATTTGAATGTCGGTTTGATCACTTGGAAGTTCGAGACGGGCCGTTTGGCTTCTCTCCGCTCATAGATCGATTCTGTGGTGTGAAAAGCCCCTCGTTAATCAGATCAACAGGGCGCTTCATGTGGATCAAGTTCAGTTCTGATGAAGAACTGGAAGGACTCGGATTTCGAGCAAAATACTCCTTTATTCCAGGTAACGAAATTATCTTTTCAGTGGCCGGGCGTCTCTCCGATTTTAGAATCTTAAGGCTAGAAAAGAGCTAATCGAGTTGAGTCAATCCTTTAAGAAATGTAGAGCCTTATCCTGTGAAAGCACGCGCATCCCTAATGCAGAAACACAGACATTCAAGTCATTGTCCTCAAAGACCTCACCAACCACAAGGTGGAAAAGGAACTTAGTGTAACAAGCATACAACCCTTGTATTTAATGCTTTTCTGCAGGAAATGTGTTTATTGAAAGACATTAAAACATCCGAATGAAAAAATGCCCACAATCTTACCACCCTGTGTGTACATACCCAGTGTTAGGAATTAGGCACATACACCTTCGGATGTTTTTCTGTCTTTTTTGTTGGTTTCACATAACTGAGAGCTGTGCACATGGGTCCATTACCTGCTTTTCTACCTGAACAACATAGTCAACTGTTTCTTCCTGTCATGAAACATATCATGGGAATTTTAAAGCATTGCTTCAGTATTTGTCTTCTCAAAATCAAAAGGATGACATTTTCAAAAAGTAAAATTTATCTTACAGACTGTTTTTGAGAATAGTTTTAGGTTCACAGCAAAACTAAGCAGAAAGTACAGTTTTCATATACCTCGTACGTGCACCACACACACACCCCTCCAGGTGGGACATTTGTTACCAGATGAACCCACGTCTACACGCCATCCTCACCAAAGTCCATCGTTTCCTTTAGGGCTCACTGTCGGTGTTGGACATCCTGTGGGTTTGGACACGTGTGGTGACACGTGTCATGCAGAGTAGTTTCACCGCCCTAAACCCTCTGTGATCAGCCTGTGCATACCCCACCTGCCCCTGCAGCCCCTGGCAGCCACTGATCTTTTACTGTCTCCATAGTTCAGCCTTCTCCAGACTGTCATGCAGTTGGAATCGTACAGTATGTGGCCTTTTCAGATTGGCTTCTTTCACTTAGTCATACACATGTAAGGTTCCTCCATGTCCTTTCATGGCTTGATGTCTCATTTCTTTTTAACACCGAATAAAATCCCATTGTCTGGATGGACCACAGTTTGTCCATTCTGTTGAAGGATGTCTTGGCTACTTCCAAGTTTTAGCAATTATGAATAAACCTGCTATAAACATTATATGCAGGTTTTTCTGTGGGGAAGTTTTTAAGTCATTTGGGTAAATAATCAAGGAGCACAACTGCTGGATCATATTAAAATTTCTTTTTAATTTTTGTATAAATGGATGGTGGTGATGGTTATACAACATTGTGAATATATGTAATGCCACTGAATTGTACATTTAAATATGGTTAAAAAGGTAAATATTATGTTATATATGTTTTTCTCCAATAAAAATAAATTTTAAACAATTATAAACAGGTGTCTTAAAAAAATTTAATTCAAAAGTTTAGATAGAACCTATATATACCAAACCGCCAGAAAGAAAATATTGCTAATCTAAAATGTCTCAGAATCTTTAATTAGACTGTAAGACCTATATTAATGTATAGTTTGTTGTATGTAACTGGGTGCTCAGTTCTTGTTAAAATTGTTTTTAATTCCAGATATTTTATCATGATTATTAAATTATATATTGAACAAGTGGTGGGGAAATTTTTAGCTTAATCTAGAAAACATCTCAGAACTGTTCTTTTTTAACTTAATAAACTAAGCCCACCTAAGAGGGGGCAGTGACACATCAGCTCTTTTGCAGAGAAATGTCAAAGAGAAATTTAAATCTCAAACAGCAAGGAGTAAAAGCTATGGGAGCGGGCCGGCAAATCAGAATTTCTAAACATGCAGACGAAAGTTCCAGGACGTGGTTGTTATTGCAT